CGATTTTACAGAAGACAGTGTTGAAAAAGCACTACGCAATCTAAAACCATCTCTATGTATTGGACCAGACAGAATATGTGCCTACTTCTTAAAAAAGCTATCCACTGCCATAGTCGAACCTCTAAGCATAATCTTTGAAAAATCTTTCAGGACCAGCTCTTTGCCAAAAATATGGTCAAAAGCCACGGTCATCCCCATCTTCAAAAAGGGGAGACCCCAGAAAACCTGCATTGGAGGTAATTAAATGCTGAAGGGATAAGGATTTCTGAACATTTAAAAAAAACCTTTTTTGCTGTGAGTGGGAAGGGAGAGGAAGAAAAATTGGAGCAGAATTTGAAAATAAGGAGAAGATTGCCTAGAATTTCAAAGAGTTATTAAACATTAATAAGACTTTTAAAAGATATATTTTAAATGGAACTTTGTGACTAAATACTAACCCCAGAAAGAGAAAGTGAAGAAGGAGAAAGTACTTAAAAGAAACAGCTTATTTGGATTGCTTGGTGATTTTGGAACTCCTGAGAACTATCTTTGATTAAAAGCACTTGGGTGGTTGTTTGGAAAAACTTTTTCTCTCCATAATGGCATCACTTGTGGATGGATTGAAACTTGAATATCAAAAATATAAAAAAGAAGAACAAGAAGGGAAGGATTCTCTTGGCACTCTTTTTCAATTTTTAGAAATGGCGGTTTGTACTTATGAAAAGCTGACTGCGCAACAGGATGACTGGGATAAAGAAGAAGCCATTTTTGATGAACAAGTGACTTTAGTTGGGGAAGGAAAGGAGAAAGAGGAAAAGGAAAAGGGGACTTTAAGATCTGGAAAAACAACCAAAAAAGAGAAGAATAAGGTGAAAAGTGGATACTATGTTAGAAAACAACAGCAAGGAGGAAAGCAGAAGAACAAAAGGGAGGTGGAGAGACAAGGGGGTAAAGAGGGCAAGGAGAAGAATAAGCAAGGGAGAAAGGAAGGGATGAGAAGCCTCAATGGTGGGGAGCAAGATGCAAAGAAACAAAAGTCTTTTAGAGGTAATGGGTAAACTTTATTGAAAAAGGGATTCTGGAAAGGTACATAAGATTGTATTTTTATGTTTGTACTTAGAAATAATCTTAGAAAATTGGAAACAATATGTAATTTAAAATGTGATAAAATATTTAGTGTAACTTAGTGAAATTTTTGTCAAGAAAAAGAAAGCAATGAAATAAATAGGAGAATTGGAGTAGGAGAAGGGGGAACATTTCAACGAAACAATGATTTAAAATATGTGATGTGGGGGGGAAATAACTATGGAAAGCTTAGTGTTCCCATAAAGGCATGATATTTAATTGAAATGGGTAAAGTGTTTAAGATATAAATGAATATTAATATTAATGATTAGATTGTGTTATCCCAGTGAATTTTTTTGTGAAGAAAAAGAAGGCAATGAACTAAATGAGAGATTTGAAGTAGGAGAAGGGGGAACATTCTAATGAAATGATGATTTAAAATATGTGATGTGGGGGGGAAATAACTATGGAAAATAGGTGTTCCCATAAAAGTATGATATTTAACTGAAAAGTAATGTGTTAAGTGTTTAAGATATAAATGAATATTAATATTAACGAATAGATTTGTATTGGCATTGATAATATTGTATAATTTTAGAATGTACCAAACAGAATCCCAATGTAAGCTATGTATTTTATATTAAGTATTATAAATGTAGGGGAAAGAGATAAAGGCATCATACTCCAATTAGTATACAGGAGAAGTTTAGTTTAAAAAAGAAAGATAAATGGATAGCTGGAAACAGAACAGACAAAGAATAATAAATATTATGATTTGAATTGAGATGAGATAAATAAAATAAAACTAAGAAAATTTAAAAGAGATGAGAAGCTATATAGAAAATTGAAAATGGTAATAAGATATGGAATGGTATACAAAATGAATATGAATTTGAATTTGTGTCTGTACGAAGAGTTGTAACCCAGGACTAAGCAACTTTCAGAAAAGATGCTTTTTATGTTTCTATGTTTTGTGTTTTTGTGTATTTATGTTTGATTGAGTTAATAAAACCTTGGACGAATGTTAGAAGAGGATAATTGAGAATAAAAGATAAAAGAGAATAAAGCTAGTCAGAAGAAAAAATAAGTATAGTGAATAAAAACATATAAAATAGATAAATATAGAAAAGAAATACAATTGAATAAAAGTAAAGGGAGAAATAATGAGAAACTTGAAAGGATATGTATGTGTTTATAAGGAGATGTGTCAATGGTGTATAAAATGTTTTATTCGTTTTGTTAAAATTTACAATTAACTTTCAGAAAAGAGGTTTTATGTTCTTATGTTTTATATTTTGTATGTCTTTAAAAATTAATAAAATTTGTTTTTTAAAAAAAGGGAGACCCCAGCCTAGTTGAAAATTACAGACCAATCTCCTTATGCTGCGTCATCTGTAAAGTCATGGAATCAATTATTAACCAATCCATTATCCTCCACTTAGAGACAAACAACCTACTCTCTAATAAACAATTTGGTTTCAGAAAAAAACTATCCTGTAATCTGCAAGTCTTATTCTGCAAAAACATATGGACTACACAACTCGATTAGGGCAAAGCAATAGATGCAATCCACATAGATTTCTGTAAAGCCTTTGATTCAGTGGTACATGACAAACTACTACTAAAACTAAAATCTTATGGTATCTCTGGACACCTACATAACTGGATAGAAGCATTCCTGTCAAACAAATGGACAACAAATGGTCAAAATTGGGAGCGTCCTATCAAATTCTGTACCTGTCAACAGTGGTGTCCCCCAAGGCAATGTTTTAGGACCAACTCTCTTCATATTCTACATAAATGACCTCTGTGATCATATTAAGAGCAACTGCATTCTCTTCACTGATGATGTAAAGCTATTCAACATCACAGATAATACTACTACCCTCCAAAAAGACCTTGACTATGTATCAGAATGGTCAATCAAATGGCAATTTCAAATCTCAACAAATAAATGCTCTGTCTTACATATTGGCAGAAAAAAACAGAAAATAAAATACAAGCTAAATAGTCAAGACCTTGTTGAGGATCCAAACTTTATCAAGGACCTTGGAGTACTCATCTCAAATGATCTGAGTTCTAGAGCCCACTGTAACTACATAGCCAAAAAGGCCTTAAGAGTTGTTAATCTAATCCTAGGTAGCTTCTTCTCTGGTAATATCACACTACTAACTAGAGCATACAAAACATTTGCTAGACCTATACTTGAATACAGCTCATCAGTCTGGAACCCACGTCGTGTATCTGATATTAACACAATTGAAAAAGTCCAGAAATATTTCACAAGAAGAGTCCTCCACTCCTCTACTCATTGCAGAATACCTTATGCCACCAGATTTGAAACTCTAGACCTAGAAAATCTAGAACTACACCACCTCTGGTCCGATCTAAATATAGTATATAAAATCATACATTGCAATGTCCTACCTGCAAATGAATAGTTCAGCTTCAATCATAAAAATACAAGAGCACACAATAGATACACACTCAAGGTTAACCGCACCAAACTTGACTGCAGAAAATACTTCAGCAACAGAGTGTCAATGTTTGGAATACTCTCCCTGACTCTGTGGTTTCTTCCCCTAACACTTCAACCTTAGACTGTCTACTATTGACCTCACCCCCTTCCTAAGAGGCCAGTAGGGGGCGTGCATAAGTGCACCAACGTGCCTACCGTCCCTGTCCTATTGTTTTTCTTTTTCTTTTTTTTATCTATCTCATGTATTCAAAACTATATTTATTCTTATACCTGTATCTTGTAAGCGATTGACAAATCAAATAAATACTAAAAAAATACTTGTTAAGGTGTTCTTCATAGCTTGTCCTGAGCTCTGTTCCTTTACATTTTTCATTGCTAAACATGAATAAGTTTGGCACACTGTACATGTATGCATGCACACTGTACATATACATACATACATACATACATACATATGTACATACCCTAAAAGAGAGCCAGTTTGGTCCAGTGGTTAAGGCTTGGAAGCAAGAAATCATGAGTTCAAGTCCCACCTTAGCCATGAAAACCACCTGGGTGACTTTGAGCCAGTCATTGTCTCTCAGTTCAACTCACCTCACAAAGTTCTTATTATGAGGAAAATCTATTGGATATGTTGAGTTATTTGAAAATAATGATAGATAGATAGATAGATAGATAGATAGATAGATAGATAGATAGATAGATGATAGATAGATAGATAGATAGATAGATAGATAGATAGAGGGATAGACAGACAGATAGACAGACAGATATACTGTGATCTTGATAAAGAAACAGATAAAATAATTAATTTCTGAGAAAATAGAAAAAGTAAGAAAAAGACTAAGTACAATCCCACTTTGTCCTTAAACGGGAGCAGTGAAGGTTTTCAACAGGCTTTCAAGGCTCTATTATTATATTTTATAAGAGTAAAATAGCATTCCTGAAATCCTCTACTTCTTGACCTGACCTACCTTGGACAGCTGACAGTAATGGAGCTTTTAAGGCTGTCTTTGTTGTTCCTTCCCATACTTTCAGTGTTATCATTTGACCTTTCAGTGTTATCATTTGACCTACTTGCAAAACACTTGAAAAGAAAGCTCTCCTCAAAATTTGTTTTCCTCTTTCCATCATCTCTCTCTCTACAAATTGTTCTGATTTTACAGACTTCTCATGAACCATTATAAGGCATCAGGATATTGTTGTGTGATATAGACAAAAAGGCCAAAGACAGAGAGATATAATAGTTAAAACATTTTACTTCAAACAAGAACATCAAGGTTATAGTCGAACCTCAGACTCAAAAGCTCCCTTGGGTGATTTGGGCCAGTCACTTTCCCTTAGTGCAACCTACGGTAGAAAATACAAGGGGAAGAATGCACACTGCTTTTTACTCCTAAATGAAAGATGTATTATAAATTAAATAATTCACTGGATTCTATTCTGTGTCTTTTATCTTTATTTTTCTTCATTTCAGATATCTGTCATATATCATAATTCCAAGAAAATGATCTTGGTAGTGGATAGGAGACATATAAAAAGTGTGGAAAATGAAAAGAAAAACATGCCATTTAGTGATGTCTATATAGGAGGAGCTCCTACCGAGATTTTAAAATCTAGGTTGGTTGGTTTATAATCATTCAGAAGTTTTTTTTTTTCATTTATAACTTGATGTTTATTTATAAATTACATAATGCATACAGTATAATGATGTGAATTTAAAATACAGTTATAGGAGGTAGAATAATTTGTGTATCATGTATTATGCAGTAATGGAGGCAAAGCAAATGACGATTTATTAGAGAGCATCTTATAATGGAGGCCCACCCATTTGGAGGGCATCAAGGTTGAGAAAAGATACGTTAGCATTTTACTGGGCCATTCTGTTCCAGCCAAGTGGGGCACATTTAATATGTAGTCTATTATACATTCATTTTATGTAATCTTCTTTCCTTGAATGCAGACATCACTTCCTGATCTGTTGCATATTGCTTGTTTTCCGTTCTTTGGGGAGAGAGGGGTATTTGAGTTTTGATTATAGCTGTTCATTGAATATCTTCTGTAGAATACCAAAGTACCTCTTTGGATGTCTGCCTTCTTAGATAGATCAGACAGGAATCAGAACCAAATGAGCTAATTCTATTTTATTATAATCCACACTTGCCAGTGGGGAAAAACATGTCAGATCCTTCAAAAAATTTCACACCCAGAAATGCACTTGCCAGCGTTGTTTGCATAATATGAAAACGCCCAACTACAGTTCTTCTGGAAGAAGGCAGTGCAGCATTGTAACAGGCACAGCCATGATTTCCATGTGCATCATGGGTTCTGCGCAGTCTGGACACATGGCAAGAAATGATCTTGATGTAAAATGCTGTAAAATGATGCCAGAGAGTGAAGCTTCCCACCAACTATAGATAAAGTTGCCCATTGTCATTCACAGCATCATCAGAAGATGGCTGTGAAGCAAGGGTACTGTGCCCTTTATTCAGTGGTCAGCCACTGAAATACTATTACTTCATTTAACTGCTTTATGATGGAGGGTTGTCCTTCTCCCTTAAGCAATTGAAAACTTCCGCCAATGAATCACGTTAGGGTTACATGTATTTCTCAGGCTGAATCTAGAGAAAGAGAGAAGCTCCCCAGATGTCGTTTCTTTCCTATTGAACGGTGCAGTCTACTGTTTTATTTTGCATTGGCATTCTGTATTTAGAATCCACTAGCCATGACCCTTGTCGCTCAACAAACATCTGTCATGCCTTCACAGTGGTGTCAGCTCACACCTGGCTATCAGTACATCCTTTAGGGGCTGTATGAAAGGTTTCCAGTTCCAAAAGAAGGACTTCAATTTGTTGGAAGAGCCAGGTACCCTGGGCATTGGTTACGGCTGTCCCGAAGAATCACTTGTAAGTGTGGAATTGTGCTTTTCTGTTGTTTTTAAATATATATAATCTTATTTTGTGATCTTTTTTGTGTTCTTTTGTGAATATGTTCGTTTTCTTTCACCAATTTGTATTATAAAATTGTAAAGATAACATTTCTTAAAGCAATTTCTTCTCTTAATATAATATTATTCCTTTTGAGTAAAATAATTGGAAGTGGTATCTGTTATTGAATGTAGAATACATTTCTGAAAGAAAACCAATATGATAGATTTTATACAGTCAGATGTTTTGACACTTTAATAAATATTTATGTCTTGTCTTCTTTCATTCCACAGATCAGATTTTAAGCAAGCTTATTTTCAATTGCATACTGAACTTCAGATACATCTAATAGTTAACTATAACAGGATGACAAAATGATAATTTGGCATCCCCAAATTATGTGAGCAAAGGGCCCACAAAGCATTTTTTAAAAAGTGAACACAAATGAATACAAGCTTCTTCTTTTTTTTCAAAATCATAGTACATAGGCGTGGTATTTCCTAAGTTCTACAATCAAATTCTCACTGTTGTCAGTAGAAGTAATTTTTAAAAATATTTAAGAATAGTTGACCTAGATTCAGATATAGATATTAGGATCTTGATAGCACTGACCTACACATATCCCAACTATCCAACCTACCAAGATTTTTCCATTTGAAATTCCTGTAGGTGACATTGACAGTAGGCTAGATGAATATTAATATTTGTAATAACAGTACTCCCAGTTATGGCAACAACAGCAATAGTAATAATATTATTATTCATCATAGGCCATATTCTTCTACTTAACTTTCTTGGAAATGGATTTAAGGTCTTCCTGAAGCTGCTTGATTTTCCAGTTGAGTTATTAACTTCTATGCAAGGAGAAAATAAAAATAAGGTGCATATCCTCAAAATCTGTGTACCATGAGATTCCAAGAGTATTATCTGAACCTCATTCAATGGGATATGTTGAGGCACAATTTTCAAAGCACCATTATTGTAGAAGCTAATTTCTTTCCAACAGCATTTATGTGTGAATCCCACTGAAGGAAATAATTATAGAGTGGCAGTGTTTGGTGAACTCTAGAAGAGGTTGTCAACAGTGTATCTCTGTTACAGTGTGATAAAGAGTTCACGCACACTGCTCTGTGATGATCACACATCAACATTGGAATCTCTGGGCATTTTGGAATGTGATAGTTGACCCTTTGGATTCTTCCTGCTATTGTTATTTTCACCTTTTGCTCTCTACTCTCCCTATATGTTTGCTTTGTTTACTTGATGAACAGATGTCCCGCAAAGCATATTTTAATGGTGAAAGCTATATCGCATCCAGCCAGAAAATCTCTCCTTTTCATATGTTTGAAGGCGGCTTTAATTTCCGAACTTTACAGCCTAATGGACTGTTGTTTTATTGCACCGAAGATGTAAGTCTGGGGTTGTTTTCCACATATTTTAAATGTATTTCTTCGAAATAAATATGGTCAAGACAAAAGTCTTGTTTTCGTCTTAAAGAAAAAAGCTAGCTGCTCTTAAAAAGAAATTTTAAGTGCAGAAGATATATTAAGGGATATTATAGATTAAATCCCATAAATGCCAATCCAATAAATTTAACAAGGATGTCTCTGAGATAAACTGTAACTAATGTGATGGCTAAAACTTTCATTGGGTTGGGGACAAACAATTAAAGCCTCCTTACTGAGGATAGAATGAAAGTGGAAGTTTCCTTTGTACCTTTAAGTCTATTTAGTCTCTTAGTGACAACATAGTTGACCTTCTCCAGTATGTAATGTTGATCTAGATTTAATTTAGGATGATAACAATGATTATAACTATAATATGTGCGTATGGAGCCACACACATATGCACATGCACATACATTTGTATTCATATATTGTATAATACAAGGTGCTTTCTGCAGTGTTTTAAGATAATTAGATGATCAAACCTTCAATTATATATATATATATATATATATATATATATATATATGCATATACATATACATATTCTGTACGTGTACATGTACATATTCTGTACGTGTACATGTACATGTACATGTACATATACATATACATATATATATATATATATATATATATATGGATCTTTGGTTGTTCGGGTTTTCTCCCGCGTAAGATTCGAAGTATCTAGGCAACGTTTCGATGAAGTCTCATTCATCATCTTCAGGCTTCTGTCTCCGGCTCTGTGCTTCTCAGAGTAATGTGAGATTGCAGCTGCTTCCTCCTTTTAACTGCCAGTGGGGGTGGGACTTGATTGGGTGGGGGCTTGGCTGTGTTCTGATTGGGTGGGGGGGTGTTCTCATTGGTAGGGGGTTTGGCTGTGTTCTGATTGGTTGGGGGGTAAGCCGTGTTCTGATTGGATGGAGGCGTGTTCTGTTCAGGTGGGGGCTTGGTTGTGCTCAGGTTAGTCTTAGTTGCTGGGGGATTTGAGCTGGTGAGTTGTGATCTTGCTGTTTGGCTTCTAGTTCGTGGTCCTGCTGCATCTTCATAGTGGGTGTCGGTTTGCTTCATGTATGGCTCAGAGGGGTTTGAAGTGGGTAGTGATGCAGCTGCAGTGCAGCTTCTGGTCCATGGTCGTGTCTCATTTTCTGAATGGGTGGGAGTCTGTTTTCTATATGGAAGTGTGGTGGTGGCATCTTGTGTGGCTCTCATGGGTGTGGGTCTGGTGTCCTTCTTCATGTTAGGTACTCGTCTGTTCATGAGGGCGGGTTTCCAAATGGCTGGAAGGCGGGAGGTGTCATCTCGTTTGTTCATGCTGTGTGGGCGTTTTTCTATCTCTATGGCTTCTCTGATTATTCTGCTGTTGAAGTGTTCGGTTTTGGCGATAGTTCTGGTATTTTTAAAATCAATTTCATGTCCTGTGGCTTTGAGGTGTTGGACCAGGGAAGAGGTCGTTTCTTCTTTTTTGATTGAGTTCTTATGTTCTTCAATGCGTGCACTTATTCTTCTGTTAGTTTGTCCAATGTATGTGGTAGGGCAGGCAGTGCAGGGGATTTCGTATACTCCTTGGTTTTCTAATTCGATTTTGTCTTTGGGGTTTCTTAGGATGGTGGATATTTTTCTGTTTGTGCAGAATGCTGTTTTGATGTTGTGTTTTTGGAGGATCTTGCTAATTTTGTCTGTAGTGCCTTTTATATATGGGAGGAGGGCTTTGCCGTTTTCTTGTTCTCTGTCTTGGATTTTGGTTGGGGTTTCTTTTTGGATTAGGTGGGTAATCTTCTTTCTTTGGAATCCATTGGCTGTAAGTACGTTGGTGAGAGTGTGTAGTTCGGTTTTTTGGTGTTGTTCATCGGCTAAGCATTTTGTTCTGGAGATGAGTGTCTTGGCTACGGAATTGATCTGTGCTGGGTGGTGGTGTGAGAGTGCATGTAGATAGCGGTTAGTATGTGTTTTCTTCTGGTAGATGGTGTGTCCTAGGGAGCCATCGGATCTTTTGTATACCAAGACATCTAGGAAGGGAAGTTGATTGTTGGCTTCTGTTTCCATGGTGAATTGTATTTTGGGGTGTAGACTGTTGAGGTATGTGAGGAAGTTGTTCAGTTTTTCTTTCCCGTGTGGCCAGATTATGAAGGTGTCATCTACGTATCTGAGCCAGAGTTTGGGTTTGTAGTCGTATTTTTCTAGAGCTTGTGTTTCAAAGTGTTCCATGTAGAGGTTTGCGATAACAGGTGAGAGGGGTGATCCCATGGGTGCTCCTTCTATTTGTTTGTATTTTTGTCCATTGTAGGTGAAGTAAGTATTGGATAGGCAGTGGTTGGTTAGATCTAGGATGTGCTTGGGGGGGTTGTATTTGTTTTGGATGGCTGTCAAGGCTTCTTTTATTGGCACTTGGGTGAAGAGGGATATGACATCGAAGCTTACTAGTAGGTCGCTAGGTTGTAAGTTTTGTTTCTTTATGATCTCGATGAACTGGAATGAGTTTCTTACGTGTGAGTTGATGGATTCTGCATAGGGTTGTAGTTGTTTGGCAAGAAATTTGGCCAGGTTTTGTAGAGGTGAGCCTATGGAGCTGACTATTGGTCTGAGTGGGGTTCCTTCTTTGTGTATTTTGGGGAGACCATAAAGCTTGGGGCATCTGGATGATTTTTCTCTGGGTATGATTCGTTGCTGGATTTCTTCACTGATGGGGGAGGCTTTTATTTTGGATTTGGTAGTTTTTTCTAGGTAGGTGGTGGGGTCTGTCTTTAGGGGTTTGTATGTGGGGTCTTGGAGTAGGTTGGTTAACTTGGTTTGGTAGTCAGATGTGTTCACCCCCACCCAATCAGAACACAGCCAAGCCCCCACCCAATCAAGTCCCACCCCCACTGGCAGTTAAAAGGAGGAAGCAGCTGCAATCTCCATTACTCTGAGAAGCACAGAGCCGGAGACAGAAGCCTGAAGATGATGAATGAGACTTCATCGAAACGTTGCCTAGATACTTTGAATCTTACGCGGAAGAAAACCCGAACAACCAAAGATCCACATATAAATACCCGCGAGAACCTCAGAAAACATATATATATAGATATATATATATATCCTCAAACTCCACCTCAGACTCAGCAACAAGATTCACCCTCTACTTTGGGACAAATCCAAACAACTCGCTGTCTGGAGAGCCGAAACACAGACCACCCTCAAGACAGACACACACACCAACAAACTCAGGAAACTACAACAATGCCAGAAACCAAATATATATATAGTTAGTTTCTGGCATTGTTGTAGTTTCCTGAGTTTGTATATATCCATAGTTTGTATATATATATATATCCATCCTTTCATGGTATTTCAACTGCCCAACCCAGCAGATCTAGCAAAGAAAGTGGTACAAGTTCTGGTGGTTAGGGAGCTACATCTGATGGGCCCTAGGCAGTGGGCCTTTTCTGCTGTGGCACCCATGCTGTGGAAACTTCTCCCCCTTGAGGTGAGATCGGCCTCATCTCTTCTGAAAGCCCCCAAAAACCTGGTTTAAACCTGGTCTGGGACTCCTAGGAAATGGGTGAACTAGTGAGTTGGCTCCATTATCATTAATACCCCTTCATCAGCAACTTGTTTGTTCTTGATGTTTTTATAGTCTTTTTAATGGTTTTAGGTATTTATTGATTGTTTATTGTTTAGCTTTGTTGTACATTGCCCAGAGTAGCTTGTTTGGTGTAGTGGGTGAAACTGAATTAATTAAAAAAAAAGTAAAAAAAATGAATGCAAAAAATGTCTTCCATTCCCAGCAATAAGAACATGTTCTTTTCTTCATTTCAGTCAGAAGTGTTCTCTATTTCCATGGAAAAAGGAAATGTGGTATTAAATGCAAAAGGAGTAAAAGTTCAGACAGCAGACAAGTCCTTTAATGATGGAAAGGCTCATTTTATCATGACAACTATCTCACCTGAAAAGTAAAGTTGCAAAAATGTTTCTTCTTACACACATCTAATCATAATACATAGATACCATTATTCTGCATTTGTTGGAATATCAAGTGCAATCTTATTATTATCAGAGAAAAAACTTCATTAAGAAAATTGGGGGGTGGGGGACTTTTGTGCTCACCCTTTACCAAAACTAGTTGGACACTTGATTTCCATACAATATTATTGTATTATATACAATATAATACAATATAATATATTATATCATTATTGTATTATTCCAATATTATTCTCCTTTCTTTAGCACTCATTAAGCACTTCTGGTGTACAAGCAGAGGAGTAAATGTTGCCAGTATCATTTAGACCCAAACAAATGTCTGTGGAAATCCTGCCCTGAGACACATAGCATTTATGTGTATCAGCAACCACGGGCAAAAATGAGAATTTGGACTCAGAAGGGGAGCCAATAGGGACAAGGCAGAGGTTTCCTTCATGTACAAACCCTACATCTCTGGATAATTAAAGTTATTTATTTTTAATTCCTGCATCTCTTTGACAAAAAATGTTTCTAAGGCATCTTGGCTAAAGCCTATTAAGCCTAAATTATATATTACCAGAAGCAGGTCAAAGCTGAGAACTAGACTAGGGAACTGCAGCTTGCAAAATGCTCTCCTACGTGGAGGCTGCCACCTAGTGAGTCATTCATCAAATTCAACATTCAAGAAAATAACTGCTAGCAATGAGACATTTTCTCACTTGTCAACCAAGTGCCTTTGAAGATTTCCTCATGAGATCTATGTTCTCTGCAGGCTTGAACTTTGGGTAGATGAAAAAAGACAAAGCAAAAATAATCCGGCAAAGGATGCAGCTGAGAGAAAGCCTGTAAGCACCAAGAAATTCTACTTTGG